AATAAATAAATAAATAAATAAATAAATAAATAAATAAATAAATAAATAAATAAATAAATAAATAAATAAATAAATAAATAAATAAATAAATAAATAAATAAATAAATAAATAAATAAATAAATAAATAAATAAATAAATAAATAAATAAATAAATAAATAAATAAATAAATAAATAAATAAATAAATAAATAAATAAATAAATAAATAAATAAATAAATAAATAAATAAATAAATAAATAAATAAATAAATAAATAAATAAATAAATAAATAAATAAATAAATAAATAAATAAATAAATAAATAAATAAATAAATAAATAAATAAATAAATAAATAAATAAATAAATAAATAAATAAATAAATAAATAAATAAATAAATAAATAAATAAATAAATAAATAAATAAATAAATAAATAACACCTTTCTTATTCTCCTACTCTTTATTTTGCATCAGGGCTGAGCGTCATTTCTGGCTGATTTTTTGGCATTTTACTTTTGGCGTGTTTTAAAAATTTGAAAAATTGGCGTTTGCCGTTCCACGAGAAAATTTTGGCGCACAGCCCTGTTCTGCATCCCCCACCCTACCCCATCCACAACATTGGGCTCCAAATGAAAATGTACATGAAAAAGGTGATCCTAAGGGCATGTAGATGAACAAAAATTAAAAGTTTTCATTTTTGTTCTGACCGTTTTGATGGTCTGACCGTTTTGATTTTCAAAATAATTTTTTAAATTTAAATAATTAACAGGAAAAAGAAAATACATTAATTGATGAAAATTCTGAATTTCACAAAATAATTTATTCAAAACCATTCGACAAAAAACACCAAACACTTAATGAAAAATTTAGAAATTTAGTTAGACGTGTAACAACAGGATTAAGAAAAAAATGGCTTTATGGAAGCAAAGATAAAAATTTAAAAATGAGTTCAAACGAGGAAGAAGATAATTATTTGTTGGGTGGTGCTAACTAGTGGAGATGTCCAAGAATCTTGGTCTTGAGTCAAAGTCAAGTCTTGGGGTGAAGTCTTGGTCTTGGAAAATTTTCGGTCTTGGACATCTCTACTAACTAGTTGGGTTGTCTTGAAGGAGGGGGGGGGGTCAGAAAATTTTTTCAAAAAAACTAGGAAAATTCTCTGAAAACTTCTTCCCAAGTGAGACACGGATATTCGGAAATACAGAGAATGTCCGGACCCCAACTTTCTGTTCGGACCCCACCCATCTTGTAAAAATTGTAAAAAATTGTAAAAAATTAAAATTGCATCTCTAAAAAATTTCTTTGTCGTTTAGAGTTTAAAAAGGGTTGATAAAACAAGGTGTTTCCCTTTAATGGCAGACTTTATCAATTAATTTTCTTTAGAGATGAATTTTCATTTTGCCAAAGATGTCACCTTAGTTTTTCTCTATGAGAAATACATATTGTAAAGGATATAGCTATTTAATTCCTAAGGCTAAGCAGGAGGAGGTGTGCTGTAACGGATAATATGTCAGTCCTGTAGATCAGAGGTGGGTAGGAATTCCGATTTCTGACGATTTTTTCCTTCCTCCACCAGAGTTCCGACTTTTGAGTTAGTTACGATTTCCGACACCTCTGACTGTTCCGATCCACCTCTGCTGTTACTGCTGGCTCGCACCCAGCCGCCTTCTTCTAATGTCTCTCTAGCTGAAGGAGAAATGGTTATAGCACAATTCATTTGTCAAGAACTAAAGAAAATGCCTTACTCCGAAAAGCTCGTTAAATCGGATTCGATTGTATTTACTAGCAAAAAGTGGTCGCTTCTTCTAATGTTTATTAAAATATTAAGAATTCTCTCGGAAGAAGCTACCATCTATGGCATACCGTATATTTGTGTACATATCCTGATTGTTTTTTGTATTTATTAAAAACTTTGTATAAAAATCCCTAACATTTGTTGGCTGTTGCATATAGAATTTTTTAAATCTTGGCATGTAGCCAGGAGAGAGACCCGTCGATAAAGGCAAAAATCCATATTGCCACATGTTCAAATAAAATCACGCGCAAGCGCGTCTAATAGTGAAGGGGGGGGGGGGATAAAAACAATCGAAAATAGGCGAGAAAAGCCAACGCAATTTTCTCTCCTCATTCAATGTTATTTTCTGTCGCAAGACGCAAATCGACTTTTCTGTTGCCACAACATAATAGTGAAGGGATATGAGTGGGGAAGAGAGGGAATGAAGAGAGAATGGGGGGGGGGGGTAGAAGGTGAAGGGAGGAGGAGGTGGAGGGGGTGTCTTTCCTAGGAGGAGGAGGAAGGTGAAGAGAGGTGTCTCTAAGAGGGCTCTGTCTTTCTAAGGGAGAGGGAAGGAAGGGGAGGGAAGGGGTGTCTTTCTAAGGGGATGAAGAGAGAAGGGAGTGAGGAGGGGGGGGGGGGGTAGAAGGTGAAGGGAGGTGGAGGGGGGTGTCTTTCCTAGGAGGGGGAGGAAGGTGAAGATGTGTCTCTAAAGGGGTCTGTCTTTCTAAGGGGGACGGGAAGGAAGGAGAGGGGAGGGAAGCTATAGGGTCTGCCATCTTCTTTAATTAATAGCAGGTGAAGAAAATAAAATTTTTTGTATAGAGAAGGGGAATTTTTAATGGAAGAGAGAGGTAGAGGGGAGGGAGTAGGCGAAGAGGGAAGAGCGTCTCTCATCTTTATAGGAGGGTAGTTATTAAGAGCGAGCGCAGGGCATTGACTACCTCTTTATATAGACAGACACCTCTTCGTTAAAAAATTTTCTTTCTTCATTTATTGCCTGCAAAATTAAAATTAAAAAATTTTTCAAGAAAAATAAAAAAAAATTTTTTTTTGAATTTTCAAATAAAATTATTCCCCTTAATGAGGTAGAGGGTAGGGAGTAGTTATTCCCCTTGATAGTGTTAATTTAATAGTTGGTCGGACCTCACTTAAGACACACCCCTCCCTATACGAGAATTCTTTAAAATATTTTTATTAGCCTCTAGGCGGGGGTGTAGCTGCCTTCGGATACCTCCAATTTAAATACCTCTCGTTATAAGCGACGATTTTTCGACTCCAAGGGTGTGTATTAGAGCGAGGCTTGATTTTACATTTTTTGCAGTGTAAAATCCTTTTTAAGACAACCGAAAAATGTCACCAAAATTTCTCCCAAAATTGGTCATTTTATGCTTCTTTTTATTCATTTTGTTGGACAACATTGAAGGGGGAAGTGAAGAAAGAAATGGGCTTTTAAACGGGACAAAGACACGTTCAAAAACAAACCTAGAAAATTTATGGAGAAAAGCGACGATTGTCACAAGGGCAGTAACAAGTTTAATAAAGCCTAAAGGAGAAGCTAAAGGCTCTTATTTATCATTAGGAAAGACTTTGGATAAAAAGACGAGTCTTATGGATAATGGATTTAATGTTGATAAAAGCATATTAAAAACAGAACCTCAAAAAATAAATCATTGGATCACTACTACATATCCAAAGAGTTTTAAGTTTTAAACTGAGAAGAAAGAACGATTTAAAAAAAGAACATTTATATGTGTAGGGTGTGGTGTATCCATTCATTGACCAAAATACCCTCCGGAAGAGACAAAATACCTTCCAAAGTAACTAGATGACATTTTGTCGTATATAGCTATGTGACATTTTGTCGTATATAACAATGTGTCATTTTGTCGTATATAGCTATGTGACATTTTGTCGTATATAAAAATGTGACATTTTGTCGTAAATAAAAATGTGACATTTTGTCGTATATCAAAATGTGACATTTTGTCGTATATAAAAATATGGCATTTTGTTGTATAAAGAGGTGGCATTTTGTCGTATATAACAATGTGTCATTTTGTCGACTATCAAAATGTGACCTTTTGTCGTCCTTTACTTGTTGTGACATTTTGTCGTTATAAATGAGTAGGTATTTTGGTCCGTAGATGGAATGCCCTTCCGTTTCATTGTAAGAAAAACAAAAAATTGAACATTTCTTTTATTTTAAAAGATTATTATTTTAAATTTATTTTTTATCGATAAAATTTTTCTTTTTTTTTATAAATTTTTTGTATTGGAGAAAAACAAAAGGGTTTCCCTAATAGACTCGGACTTCATTATAAGATATACCCAATGAAGTAGGTGAAACGTTTATTAAAATACGCAGTATCAAAGGGTATTTACCGTATTTCCTCTAATAGAATGTCACTCTCCTGTTGAATGACCCCCTCTAATAGAGTGACCCCTTGGAGGATGATTGAAAAATAGAATGGCCGACCACTATATTAAAGGAAATACGGTATACTCAGTATCTAAATAAAATTTGGGAGTGTTAGACAATTGGGGATATAAAATTAAAAAATAGCTGAAGCAAAGGCAAGCAACAATTGAAAGAGCTTGATTAAAATGAGAGTCTGTTTTGTAGTGCCGTCTGACGGTTTCTGAATGATTTCTGGATATTGATGCGGGGCTGAAGACTTTAATAAACATTTTATTTTTAAAAGGAGTTACAAACAGCCGAGGGTTGGGGACGTTTTGGCGCCGTGCCGTTTTGGCGCGAGAATAAAAAAGTGGCACTTAGGCGTGACTTAATTTCATAAAAATTTTCTCAAATTTCTTTAACATCCTTGCCTACCTCCTCCAGAAATTTTAGAATTTTTCATCAAAAGTTTCTGAAGTTATAGTCGATAGACCTCGAAAAATTAGGCATTCTTCAAAAAATCAACATTTTTGCCCACAATTTTCGAAATTATTTATCAAAAATTTTGAAATTTTTGGAAAACATAGATAAAGGCACGAGAGTTATTATTGCATTATTGAAGTGAAAGCCTTTTCTGTAGTGCAGGCTGTCAGTTACCGACTCCAGACGGTTTCTAAATTATTTCTAGAAAAAATTAAAGGTCTAGACAATTAATTCAGAAAAGGGCATTCACGAGATTTTTAAAGAATCATAAAACAGGTTGGATATCTTGTGATTGTCTAAACATATTGCCCAAACTACAAATTAGGGGCAGACTACAATATTGAATTTTTTGGCATGTGTTTTAAGCAGAGGATTGAAGGAGAGAGGGAAGGACTTGAATTGAGGGAGGGAGGGAAGGGGGAATAAGAGGGAATAACATGGAGGGCCAGTTAGAGAAAAATAGAAAGAAAGAGCAGGAGATGAGAAGGAGGGATGAATCGTTTTAAGAGAGGGGATTGAAGGAGGGAGGGAAGGATTTGAATTGAGGGTGAAGGTGTGTTGTATTCGAGTGAATAAGAGTGAGGGTCTTCGAGTTAGAGAAAAAGAGAAAGAAAGAGTCAGTGAAGAGAAGGAGGGAGGGAGGAATCTTTTTAAGGCATGGGATTGAAGGAGAGAGGGAAGGATTTGAATGGGAAGGTGTGGGGTATTCAAGGGAATAACAGGGAGGGTCTTCGAGTTACAGAGAAAAAGATAAAGAAAGAGCAAGAGAAGAAAAGGAGGGAAGAATCTTTTTATCGATTGATGGAGGAGGGAGAGGAGGAGGGAGAGGGATTGTCTAGGGGTACCTCCTTTTTAACGCCCTCTTCTCTTCTCCCTCCCTCCACAAAATAGCTTTCCCTTCATTCATTTTTCCTTCAATTAAAGTTATAAAAAATTTTTTGCCGTTATTAATTTAAAGGATTGAACGAATCCTTTAAAAAAATCCGCGAGAAGAAAAAGAAAGCCGCGATGTCGACAACTAAATTTAAAGAAAAAATGGTTGCCATTTTATTTTTTCTGTTAATTTTACTTGTTAAAAGTAAAGCGTTAGAAGGAGAAGGCGAAAGTCTTTTACAATCATTCAGAAATGAAAATGGACAGAATGGTAGGCAAAATTTCCAAGTTTTTTATAGACTTTAGGAATTGGAGATCGGACCGAGACGAGATCTTGAAGAAAATCTAGGTCGTTGGGAATCGTTGTAGGGTTTTCTGACACTCCCTGTTCAGTCTCTCCAATAGTATAAACTAACGTATTTATTCTAATTAAATGGCCTCTCCACCCTCTCCTCTCCAATGGCCTCCTCTTCATCTCATCTCCTCTCCATGGCCTCTCCTCTCCATCTGAATGGCCCTTTTTGGGGGTATTGAAAAATAGATGACGGCTATTCACTTGGAATAAACACGGTAGTTATTTTTCTAATTTATTTCTAATCCAAAAACAGAAAGGCGGATATTCCAAATTCCGTTCGGATAAGGATCCATATATCAGAAGATCCGAATATCCTAAGATTCCCAGGAAACGCTAATCCTACTCCAAGTACCTTAATCTTACTCGAATTTTTAATATTGCACCCCTCTAAAATTTAAAAATTGAAGAAGAACATAAGGAAGAACCAACAAAAGAACCCACAGAAGATCAAAAACAAATTGTTGTCTACAACCCTTTAAAATTAAAACCAAACAATCCAGAGCTAAAATTGTTCGAATTTATTGAGGCAAAAATAAATTTTTTCTTTGAAAACAAAAATAAAATAGTAAAAACGTTGAAAAAAATAAACTGGTTCAAAACCGAGTTGAATGCCGAAGAATTTGAAAGCATAAACAAATTGGGGGATGAAAATTATGAAATGTTGGATAAACTGAATTTTGGCGTTTTGTTGAAAATAAGAGGAATTTGTAGTAATTTAAGCCATTATTTTATACGTCTAAATGGAAATATGCTAGGGTTGTGTTTGGATAAGGAATTTAAGAAGCCATTTGATAAAATGTTACTGGACCATAATTTAAATTTCGTAAGTTTTTATTGTTATACAGGTGGTTGGTCGTTTTTCCGAATGGTGTTTTTCCAAAGGGATGCTTTCAAGTGGGCTTTTCCATAGGTAGTTTGTTCATATAGCCTTTTTACAAAATGATCATTTCTAAAAATGGTCAATTTTAAATATGGCCATTTTCCAATTGGTCGCTTTTCCAATTAGTCGTTTTTACAAATGGTCGTTTTCCAATTGGTCGTTTTTGAAAATGATCGATTTTCCAAATGGTCGTTTTACAAAATGGTCATTTTGTCTATCATACCATCCGAGACCTAAAAAATTGAACTGGAAAAACCTAGATGGTTTCCGGCAAACGAGTTTATAGCCGACATCCCCAAAGAAAAACGGGGAAAAATGAGGGAATAGAACCTAGTTTCTTTCCATTTTTTCTTTACCGCAGAGATTTAAAACCTTATTTATAAGTTAATTTTAAAATCCCCATTTAAAACTAGAAAGTGGAAGATAAAGAAGGGTTTGAACCAAATGCTGCTGAAGAAACCCTTAAATATTTAAAAGAAAATAGAGGAAAAGGTTAAAGGAGAGGTTAAGGAAGATGTTAAAGAGAACAAAGAGACAAAAGTCAAAGAAAATAAATTAAACAAAGACTTGAAGAGATCAAAAAGTGAACTTTTATCGTTAACTAAATTAACGAATAACAAAACGAGAACTTTAACCGAACCGTTTAAAAACGTCTTAAAAATTGTGAGAGTTTTAAAAACCTTAAATTCAAATAGAGGAACGAACTATAAAAAAGATAGAAGCGAATTTAAAAAACTTCCTTCGAACAAAGATGAAAGAAATACTGATATGTTTACTGACATTTAACTGACATTTAAAAAGAAGTGTTTAAACTAGAGATCGGGACTTTGTAAAGTACAGTATTCCGGATTATTATCCAGATTGTACATACATCTAATCGCACCTTTATGCGTCCAATCACATTTTATTTGAGGTTTTGACTGTCTACTCACGACTAAGGATGATGATTCCTGGGAAATCTCCGGATATTCGGAACCGGTATCCGAACCGAAAATTTCCGGATACCCGAGGTTTTTTAGGTTCCGGATACCCGTAACAGCCCAACCTTACTCACGACCAGGGGTGGGCGCATTGCGTTTTGCGTTATTTGCGTTAAATTTTGGCCTTTTTTTTGCGTTTTGCGTTATTTTCGATGAAATTAAACGCAAAAAATATAACCAATCTGAGGACAAAATTGGAGAAATTTGGCTTCTTGACCTTCCAAAATTCTGAAAAATTTCGCCTGCGGCGCTAAAAAAGGAAGAAAGCTGGCTTTCTGGCCTTCCAAAATTCACAAAATTTTCGCCTGCGGCGCTGAAAATGAAGAAGGATCAGGAGTGGTTAAGTCGGGGATTTCTAGGGATATCTGGGAATCTATCAATTTCGAGAAGATATTAATGGATTGTCAGAATTAAACAGGTCTTCGAGTGATTAAGAGGATATGATGAATATATCTAGAGATTAATAAATTAATTCTTCCCGTTAATCTTCTAATCTGGGGGCAAAATTGGAAAAAAATCTGTTTTCTGGCTTTCCAAAATTCCGAAAATTTTCGCATGCGGCGCTAAAAAAGGAAGAAATCTGGCTTTATGGCCTTCCAAAATTCCTAAAATTTTTGCCTGCGGCGCTAAAAGTAGAGTATTTAAATATCAATTTTCCATCATGGAACGGCTCTGAAGAATAACGGTGCATTATCTGGAGATCAGGTCTCCCGTTATCCCCATATCAATCATAACTACTTATAGCCTTCATCCTTTGCTATCTTCCCAACTCACCCGACATCCGTCGATAATCCCATGATTTCCTTGATCCCTCCAAATTATCCCTTTAAATCCTCTGATATCGTTCATAATCCCTTGTATCCAGGATAACTCAAATCATTACCCATCCAACTTACATGTATCACAAAGTCGAGTAGGAAAACGCTGACTTATAGTAATACTTTATTTTAACTGAAAAATAACTAATACTTGATTTAAAAAATTTTTTCCCTATTTTTGCGCTCTTGCGTTTTGCGTCTTGCGTTATTTGCGTTAAATTTTGGCCTTGCGTTGCCGTTTTGCGTCTTGCGTTTTTGAGATTGTCTCTTGCGCCCACCCCTGCTCACGACCCTTCCAGTCCGTTCTCTCGTTTAAACCTTTTATGTAAACCCTTTTGAGGAAAAAGCGAATTTTAACGTCATTTTTTGTTGAGAGAAAAATATGTACATAGAGATAGACCTCGATTTTATGAATACCCTTGGAAGTGTAAAAATCTCTTATACTAAGAAATTTTTGAGGGAGTATTGCTTAGAAAAGATTTTATCTTAAATTGAGGGTATGTATTTTTGGAGGTAAAATCGAGGTCTGAATGTATAGTAGAGACCGGAAATTTTGAAAAGCCTGGACCTGTTCCTGGACTCTGGGGTTTGATTTCTTGACCTAAACTGGATCCTGGGCCTGTAGTCCAGGAAAAACTCAGGCCCAGGAAAAACCGCGGCATTATTTGTTAGTCCAGACCCAGGCCGGGCTCTACTGTATATAGGTCTAAAGTTGAACCCCTATCCATTCAATTTGTTTGACTCCGAACCCGCAAATTTTATATACACCCTTGAGACTCCAAAAATTTGTATTTTAAACTGGAGAAATTTTTTATAGTATAACAGGGATGTCTCGAGAAAAACGGATTGAAAATCTCCGGGTTTCGAGTAACCCGAGACATCTCCCGATAAGAGCTACACGGAAATTTTAAATTCTTCCTAGCTTGAGGAAAATAGGGAGAACTCTCCGTTTCATTTCCTTGAGAAGAATAACCCTTAAAGAATACTCTTGGTCACTCCTTTCCGCAACCATGAAACGAAATTTTCGCGCAGCTCTGATCCCTCTTATGTACAGAATTTTTTTAAATTGTCGAACTTTTTAAGCATTTTCTTTGTAAAATTTTATCTTTAAAATTGTATAAAACATAAAATTGTTTATTATATAAAAGTATAAAAGTTAAAGGAGGCGAGCGATCCCTTCTCTAAAACTATCTTACCTATGAAAGTGTAGGGTGAAGAGAAACGGGAGTTGGTAGGAGGACTAGGAGGCTGGACAAATTGCGTTTTTCACTTGCGGATTTTTTAAAATAAGCTGCGGATTACCTATTGATTGCATGACTTTGACAGAAATGGGAGAAGGGGGGATGGGTGGGAGAATAGTTAAAGCTCCACAAGATTAAGGATAGGGGCATTTTACTATCGTCAACAACCTCCCCTCGATAGCAAGACTGGCATGAAGGGGAAGAGGAGGAGAGGAAGGGGGAGAGGAGAGGAGAGGGGAAGGTTATCGGTGACATGAAGAGGAGGGAATCGTTGACAGCTCTTATAAGCATTACCTACGCTCGACAATAGCTCTCCCTCGATTGCGTGACTTAGCATTAGAGAGAGAGGAGGGGATTTTTGACAGTAAATGTATATTTTACTTACTCATGTCAACGTCCTTTTATTTCTCTCCTTTAAAATAAATTAAAATAAAACGAAATTAATTTTTTCACCTATTTTTGAATTTTTTTTTTAATTTTTTGGTATTTTTCAACGGTTAGTTGCATCCAACTTTGAATTTTAAGGTTCCAACCTCTCTTAAAATGTTTAGCTCTTGGAACCTTGCTTATAGGCACTCTGATCCATCCCACTGGACAAAAAGCGCGTATTTGTCCTCATCGGACTCGTCCCCACACGGATTCGTTCGATCTCAAAAAATCCGAGTAAACATACTCACTTTGTCGAACTATAAATTAAAAAGGGGTATTCTTATCTTAAAACCGATTTAAAAAGATCTAACCATC